AGCAAAAATCTCTCCAAAAAAAGAAAAAAAAAAAAAAGAAGGTTACTTCTGCAGTTTTTCAAGAGAGCACTGTTCTAGAAACTCACAGGGCTTCTGCTCTGTTCAACCAGTCCTTTGAGAACACTGTGCAGGTAATTAAAGTGTGCCTTAGGCTGCAGCCTGCCAGCCCTATCTGGTGTGTACTGAGGCTGAAAGCAGTAGTGAGAGGTCTAGTTCTTGTGGATCCCCCTTTACTCTGAGACAGTGATATCCCCTTGGTTCACATTCAGGACTATCTACTGCTGGGAGGGCTTGACCTTCCATCCCTGTAATGCACTAAATTTAATAACTCCAAGCAATATCCTCATCTCCTTGGGACCCCCTAATAAAAAATGATGGGGACCCTCAGCACACTTCCCTTGCAGGAGGCACACAGAGCTAAGAGTTCTGTGGAAGCTTGCTCTGTCCTGGGCTTGTTGGAGTCTTCAGTGATCAGAGTCCAAACACTAGCGCTATGTAGGACCTGAGACACCTGCCTCTGCTGATCTGATGGTCTTTTCCTCAGACAAAGCCCTCACCAATCTAATATCATCAAAACAAAAAAGAGAGTTCACATAACACTTTGCATCTGTGCCCGGGCTCCTCAGGGCTGCAAGTTGGAGGGGGGAGACATCTTCATTTTTCCTCTTTTGGGGGTTGGAGTGATACCACTAGACGTCATTCAGGATTCTCACCCTGTCTTCTGCAAAACTCTAGGTCTTTCGGTCACACAATTAGTCCAAACTTCTGGGACACTCTATGCAGAAAGGGAGTAACTTCAGCCTGACAGTTATCTTGGGGTTCCCCAGGTCTGAAGTAGGGTCAGTATTTATGGGGCCCCACATACTTAATATTGAGAGATTTTTGCTATAGGGCACAAGTGCTAGCTGGAGAGACAGAAAGAGACAGAAAGTGAGAAAAAAAAATTGAGGGATGGCCATGCCACAATCCTTTCTCCTCCATTCTCCTCTTGAGAGTTTGTGCATACTCAAACATGCACCTGGCATGAGTTTCAAGTTGCCAGGTCTGGGACTCAAACCATGGTTAATCATGTGGGAGTCCAGTGCCTTAACCACTATGCGACCTTATTGTCCTGGGGCACAACATTTTTTATTAAAATTTTTTTATTTAAAGAACAATAATTGCAATGTAAAATTTCAATACATGTATACAATGTGTAATAATTAAATCAGGATAATTAGCACACCCCAAATTTTCAACCACTTGTAACTTCCTACACAGTAAGTTGCTGTTAACCATTTCCTATCCACTGTTTTTGGTAACACTGGACATTGTTGCTTTCAGCTAATCAAAACCCCTCTGTCCCCTTCCCCATCCTTCCCAGTGTTGAGTAGTTGTTTTACACTTATTTCTATGATGACTCCATTTTTTAAGAGTTGGTGTTCCTTTTGGTCCTCACTCACCTCTCTCTGACCTTGACTCCCAGAAGGACTTGGGACACCTCCTTTTATTAACCCCACTCCTCCTCCAGCCTCAGAACAAGGTTTTGGACAAGAAAGACATGGCCCAACACACATAACTTCCCCTGCCTAGAATTTTGCAGGAATGAGTGCAGGGATGCTAATTTGTGTTGCTAGCTTCACTGTGTAGAGGTGTTCATGAATACTCAGCTGTGACTCAGGTTAGAATCTAGGTCTCCTCCACCTGCTGAATCCAGGCTACTCCATTAGATCAAGGCCCTCCCCTCTCAGAGATTTTTCAGATAGAACTCTTTCAGACAGCTTTGCTGTGGCCTCCAGGGCTGATCATAGAGGCTAGACTTGGCAGAACCACCTTGCTTATAGAAGGAGTCCATATCCTGACTCTTGATCACTCCTAGAAATTCACCCTTAGTGAACTGACACCAAGAGGATGCAGCAACCACCAGATGGAAGTCCGGGCTTTCCAAGGGAAAGTGAAGATGAACCACATCTGACCATTATTGCCAGGGCTGATAGCAGGGGTGGGATGATATGGGACTCTGCTGCTATGGGACCACACTATTCTGGAGCTGGTGGTGTCTAGGTCCTCATTCAGGATCTTGCCCTTGACATTTAGCAGAGCCTGAGACACCTCCCTCTACTGACCAAAGTCAGCTGGCCTCCAAACCCTCACGTCTCTGAACGCCTTACGGAAGTCGGGGCCCCACTTACGACCACCCCTGCCCGAACCATCCAGGGTTGACGACAGACGCACCGCTTCGTGTCGCCCCTTCCCCGGGGGGGC